TAAGCCGTAGGCAAAAGCGTACTTTTCCTTAAACGGGATGTACACAGCGCGCAGTTTGTAAACCTTGAATTCAGGTACATCAGTCAATAGATTTCAAAATTCTTCGGCAATTTTGAAAATTCTTCAAACCGAAGGACACCCTTTGTTTAAGTATTAAATTTAAAGAAGGCGTAGTTTGCTACCAAACGAGTAGAAAAAAATTTTTTTCGTGTATGTTTTCCATAAAGTATATTCTAATTTATAAAGGCAGTCAGAATCAATGAGGAAAACGCGTCCTATTTAAGCAGCCATTTTTTACAGTACGTACTTTTTGTTAGTTGTCAGAGAGAAGCTGGTTAAAAAGCTGACGTCCTATGGTGCCTGAAATGACTTTAGAATAGGGTACATGATAATCAGTATTACCATCTTACCCAATGCCGATTAACGAAAGAGTATTAATCTTTCGTAAATGTCGGCATATTGCACGAATTCTGAGCCGTAATGTAGTCATATTACTTTCAGAAGGCGGCTGTACCTATGCTAGCATACTAATTTTGTACAAAATTGCCGGTTAACAATTCAAAGAGACAGCATCTTAACCTCAGTTCTCCTTCTGATCATAATTATATATCCATGTGCAAAGCCCTTTCACGTTCTTTCTCCACCTCGCAGTGCTTTGCCGAAACGCCTGATGCAGATCTTACCAGTTTTATCCTTGAACCGGACAACCGGGAGAAGATTGCCCCGCCCGTTTTGTCCAAGGGTGATCCTATCTTGGAGACGGTGTTTGCGAAAACGGCCATTGACATGGCGCACGAGGTAGCTGCTCTTCACGAACTCATGACGCGATACAGCTTGGATTACGTTATCAAGCAGACTGAACCCCGGCACACAGTAAGGGATTACCTTACCAACCTACTGCGAAGGTCTGGTCTTCATCAGGTCTGGTGAGTGGACAAGGGCTGGTTTAACTCAGTGCCTAGATATTCATTCAGGTTTTCGAATGTGGAGCCCTTCGCAGTTCCAAGGAGGGTACCAAACGACTTGAAACATAATTCTCCTTCCAATTATCTAATTTCTGGCCTATC